CCATGCACCCGAGCTCTGTCAATAAGCTATTCTACCTCTTCGCCATTACCTCATTACACACTGGAAAATCTTGTAACCATGTCGTAGCTCAGTCGTTTAAGGCAGCGTCTGGGATCCTCTCGGACTTAGGTTCGAACCCTCATCACGGCTCTTGTGGATTTGTTCATACAGTTAGTCATTGATAGTCCTGAACAATACCCATCGACCCTTCTCTCTCCCCCACCCTAATAACACCCACTGAGCTCCCCCATAGTAATTCCTCCTGACCCAAAACTATCACATCATTATAACCCCCATATATCATTATATACCCCCAATGAGTGCCCCAAAATACCACCCCCCATGATTACTCAACAACCTCCAAGATATAACCCGCTAATAAACCCCCCATTAAAACTCCCACTCCAAGGTTCTTTGTGTCCCCCATTCAAGTACCTTCACACCCATTCTCCTCTACTCACCCCTACCCCACCCCCTTCCCATTCTCCCCCCCCCACATGCCCCCCATTCCCCGTCTCACCCATGACGAAGAGGTTGACGTCCCTGAAGATCTTGGGATGGGAGTTGACCTGACACTTGTATGTCCCTGTGTCCCAGGGCTTGGTGAAGAGCACCTGGAGTGTCCAGTCGTCCGTCTCTGGTGTGTGGAGCACCTGTAGAACACACACATCGTCTTAGCTTTATTGATAACACACTGGCTGCTAGGGGACAAGGTAGCGTACTGAGAGAGAGAGAGAGAGAGAGAGAGAGAGAGAGAGAGAGAGAGAGAGAGAGAGAGAGAGAGAGAGAGAGAGAGAGAGAGAGAGAGAGAGAGAGAGGAGGAAGGACGTATCGAGAGGGCTACTGGATGCGGACAAAGATGACAATAGAAAATAAATTATCAACTATTGCCCCCCCCCCAGTCTGCCCTTTATCTGATCGTCTTTCTGTCTCCACATCTTCCTCTCTGTCTACCTTTTTGCCTGTCTTTACCCCTGTCAGCTTTCTCGGCTGGCCAGCCTGCCTTTCTATACCTCTAACTTCGTACCTGCCTGCCTTCCACCCTGCCTACCAGTCTCCATCCCTGCCATCATACCTGCCTTCTCCTTGGCAGCCTTCAGACCAAGAGTCATCTCTCCAACTTACACACAACTCTAGAAGCTGTGGTACCCCCCTGGCCTTGTGGCCAGGGGGTACCGTGTGTACCGCCACGGAGGAGTGAGTTACAGTGTAGCGCCGGCCATAGGGTACAGTTGACCCCCCTCCCCCTCTGTGTACCACTCTAGTAACTTGAAATTACGCACGCTGTAACTTTATGTTTACCATGTAAACTTATGGAACAAAGCCTCTGCTACAGAGTCAAGTTTATGGCTCTTTGCGTAGAACTTGAAGTTTGGAATGTTATCTACTATCATAACACAGATTTAAACTTAACATGCAAGTTTCCGTTTAATGTCTTAAAAAGAGTCTGTATTCGATACATGTCAACAGCGCTCTATAAAAATATACTTAAACAAGTTTTTGAAGTGTCAAAATTTTGTGAATATTTGCCGAGTTTTTGTACTCACCTAATTGTGCTTGCGGGGGTTGAGCTTTGGCTCTATGGTCCCGCCTCTCAACTGTTAATCAACTGCTGAGGAGTTGTGTAAGGAGACCAGTGAAACTGACAAGTGTTTCTTGTAAACTGTTGTAGAGGCTAATCAGGTTAGGTTAGTAGAGCACCTGGAGAGGCTCAACTTTGTAACAGAAGGGAAGCATGAACCCGCCAAACACACACCGAAACTACGACGTTGGTACAACGTTCGAACAAGTTTTAACACCTAACCAGTTATAACAACCAATATAGCAAGTTGTGACAACCTTCTAATACGTCATAAACACGTTAAGCCAAGATGTAACAACTTTATTACAAGTTGTAACAAGCGGAAAATAGAGACAGTTTCGGTTTGTGTTTCCAGGGAATTTAGAAAGGGGCCAAATCGTGCCTGACAAACTTGATTGAGCTCTGTGGCAAGGCTACTAGAATACGACAGGGAAAAAGAAGGCTCGGGGGTAGATTGTATTTTCCTAGACTGTCAAGAAGCATTTGATAATGTTCTTCACGAAAAACTTGTGTGCAAGACGGAGAAGTTAGCTGGTATAACAGGAAGGCACCGAACTGGGTCAGGGAGTACCTGTAGGACAGAAGACAAAGAGCAACAGTCAGAGGAGAAGTTTCGAGCTGGAGGAATGTAACAAGACGGGGTCCTCCAAGGCTCAGTCCTGGCACCACAACTGTTCTTAATTTATGAGAAATTAAATTAAATCTACCCGAGGGAGTGAGCTTGTATATGCCAATGTTTGTAGACGATGCAAAGCTAATAAGAAATATAAAGACAAAGGAGGACTGCAAAAAAGTTACAGGAAGATCTTGACAAACTCCAGGAGTGGTCCAGGAAATGGTTGCTGGAGTTCAATCCCAACAAGTGTAAGGTAATGAAGATGGGAAAGGGAGAAATAAGATTCGAAAACAGTCTACACCACATATGGAAGGCAAGTACAGGAATGGGAGAGAGAAAGAGATTCGGGAGTGGATATAATTCCAACATTAGCCCCAAAGGAACACACACACACACAAGCAAGGTGAGATAGCCAGCATATGGGACTCTGGTAAACATTAGAACGTCTTGTAAAAACCTAAACCAGTACTCTTTGAAGGCAATCTACACAACTGATGTTATACCGAATACCTGAATATACAGCACCGGCCTGGAACACACACACACACACACACACACACACACACACACACACACACACACACACACACACACACACACACACACACACACACACACACACACACAATCTGTACTCAGGAATGACTCAGGAATCTGTACACCTGTTGATTGACGGTTGAGAGGCGGTACCAAAGAGCCAGAGCTCAACCCCTGCAAACACAACTAGGTGAGTACACACACACCCACCCCCCCCCCCACACACACACACACACACACCCACACACACACACACACACTACAAAGTAAATCTAATCCTTAACGTGCCGAGGTTTGCAACAAGATTAGTGCCAGAGATTAGAGGGTTAAGCTACGTATATAAATCGAACGAAATGGACCTCAAAACCCGCCAGGACAGAAGAAGCCGCCGAGATATGATTACAGTATACAAGATACTGAGGGGAATTGAGAAGGAGAAGGACAACCTCTTTAATTTGAGAGAAAGCAGAGCAAGAGGAGGCGAATGGAAGCTGAAAACACAAGTGAGTCGAACAACTGTAAGAAAATACACTCGTATCACACGTTTGGGATTCGCAGTCCACGGACCAGAGTTCGATTCCCCGGACGAGGCAGAAATAAATGGGCAGTTTCTTTCACCTGATGCCTCAGTTCACCTAGCAGTAAATATGAACCTGAGAGTTAGACAGCTACTACAGACTGCTTCCTGTGTGCGTGTGTGTGTGTGTGTACTCACCTAATTTCACCTAATTGTGCTTGCGGGGGTTGAGCTCTGGCTCTTTGGTCCCGCCTCTCAACCGTCAATCAACTGATGTACAGATTTCTGAGCCTACTGGGCTCTATTATATCTACATTTAAAACTGTGTATGGAGTCAGCCTCCACCACATCACTGACTAATGCATTCCATCCGTTAACTACTCTGACACTGAAAAAGTTCTTTCTAACGTCCCTGTGGCTCATTTGGGTACTCAGTTTCCACCTATGTCTCCTTGTTCGCATACCACCTGTGTTGAATAGTTTATCCATGTCTACCCTGTCAATTCTCCTGAGGATTTTGTAGGTAGTGATCATGTCTCCCCTTACTCTTCTGTCTTTCAGTGTCGTAAGGTGCATCTCTCGCAGCCTTTCCTCGTAACTCATGCCTCTTATCTCCGGGACTAGTCTAGTGGCATACCTCTGAACTTTTTCCAGCTTCGTCTTGTGCTTGACAAGGTACGGGCTCCATGCTGGGGCCGCATACTCCAGGATTGGTCTTACATATGTGGTGTACAAGATTCTGAATGATTCCTTACACAGGTTCCTGAACACTGTTCTGATGTTAGCCAATCTCGCATATGCCGCAGACTTTATTCTTTTGATGTGGGCTTCAGGAGACAGGTTTGGTGTGATATCAACTCCTAGATCTTTCTCTCTGTCCGTTTCATTAAGTACTTCATCTCCTATTCTGTATCCTGTGTCTTGCCTCCTGTTTCCACTGCCTAGTTTCATTACTCTGCATTTGCTTGGGTTGAACTTCAACATGTAACGGGGGGTGGGGGGAAATAGCTCTATCTTGTCCATTATTCCACCCCCCAGTTAACTAACGAGGCCGGGGGAAACAGCTCTCTCTAGTCCGTTATCCCGTCCTCAGTTAGCTAACTATTCTAGAGCACCCTCCAGAGTTCCTAAGGCAACCTCTCTCGTTCAACACCTTGTAACCTAGGTATTTGACTACCTAGGTGCTAAGACTACAAGGCGCCGTAACTGGATCAGCTACCCGAAACTCTAGAGAGAACTCTAGAATACAGAATCACTGCCACAAACGTAAAAGAGAAAACGAAAGGAAAGAAATGAATAGTGAAGTAATTAGTGAGGGTTTGGGGTGAGAGGTAGGGAGGTGGGAGGAGCGAGGAGGGTCATTAGTTGAAAGTGAGAGTTTAGAGAGGGGGTGGAGGGAGAGGTATAGATAGGTAGAAGTAGAAGAGTAGATAGTAGAAGTAGAAAGTAGATAGTAGAAGACGAAATGCTGCCACCATCCATTCATGATCATTACATACAAGACAAGGAATGGAACTTGTCTGTATCAAAATATTCTCAAAAGATGTTATCAAGAGATCATTATTAGTATGGTCCCATCTTTATCATGTACTCATTCTAAACCATGAAACCAGTAACCACAGAGGCTTTCTCACCTCAACTCAAAATCTCTAGGGAACAAAGTTAAACACAATTTAAATAATAAATTCATAATTATATTTCACATGAAGTATCATAATTTAGCAATTCAATTAAAATGTTCCAGTTTAATATGCAAAGTGAGTCATCATCCAAGAATTCGAGAACCCTACAACTTGACTGCCCCTGATCATCACACAACACTTGTAAAACACGACAAGTCACCTTACTGTTCACTCACCAAGTGTCTCTGCCTATAGCTGGATAGAGGGGGGGGGGGGATCTGTAGTTGACAGAGACTCCCGCCCTGCCGGCCGACAGCCTTCCTGCTAGGCCGTCTCTTCTGCAATCCTGACTGCCGTTCTGTCTGTTAATGCCTCATGCTGGATAGCTCTCCGAGTTTATATTGGGGAACCTAGTAGCTAACTCCGCCCACAAGTAGATAGCCTCCGGCACTACCAAGCCACTCCTTAAACGTCGGCTTGTTTGAAGGCTACCAGACTACAATTATAAGCTTAGCGGAAGCAAGGTGAAATTCTCATGATCTGACCTCAGGTCACTTGGGGTCATTAACGCTTTGAGGTGTGAGATCTCAGGCAGACAACTGACGCCTCTCAGATCCTTGTCTGTGACTCGTGTACTCTATATATATTTTAAATAAACTAACCCAAACACTTTTACAGTGTTACATCTCCCCTTCTCCCCGAAAATAAAGTTTTTGCAACACTGCTAAAGCAAGCTAGCTGTGTGCGACAACTTTATTAACGAAAAGAATACATCCTAG